TAGTAGTAGTAGTAGTAGTAGTAGTAGTAGTAGTAGTAGTAGTAGTAGTAGTAGTAGTAGTAGTAGTAGTAGTAGTAGTAGTAGTAGTAGTAGTAGTAGTAGTAGTAGTAGTAGTAGTAGTAGTAGTACCCGTGGCGCATTTGTTGCGCATTTGTCTCAGAAACAAAGTATACATAGTTCAAACCCTACCTCTGGGAAAGTTATGCGACATCGGTTGGGAAGGAGGCGTAAACTTCCAATTAAATGCTCACCCGCGGTGCTCTGAGATGAGACCATAAGGACTTCTTGGGGCACCTAAATTAAAAAAAAATACTAAAACTAATAAACTACTTTCTATTAAGTTTAGCACTCATACAAGGTTTTCTTTACTGAAATGGTTTACTTGAAAAGTTTTTAAAAACTTTAATATATTTTATAACAAACATGATAAAAATTTGTGTTTTACAGCACTTTATAGATTTCAGAAAACTTTATCTAACAAACTCTGATTTTATTACCACTCAAATTATCTAAAAAAAAACGTCATTTATAAGGTTGTGAGTGACGTCATTTATAAGGTTGTATATGATGTTCCGTATGAAGTATGTTTCTGCAAGTATGTTGTTTTTACACAAAATTCAATGAAACTTATTTTGAAAAAAGTTTTAAAAATTTAAAATACTTTTCTAATAGTACTAATATAAAGTAAATACCTAAGTAATGCAATATACAAAAATTAATTATGATGAAAATAATAATAACATTAATAATAATAACAACAACAAAAACAATTGAAAATAGTAATAACAGTTGTATTAAAATTAGTGAAAAAAGTAATAAACAGTAATAATAAAAATAAATTGCATTTGTAGCATAAAATTATAAAAGTAAGAAATATTTTTAAATATTATACGATATAAAAAGACTCGGCTTTGTCAATCTTGTTTATATAAAACAGTGGAACAAAGTCCCACATGGAATCGGAGCCACTCGCAACAACAAGGGAATTTTGTGAAGAAGACCTTAAACTTTTTAGCAAAAAAGAATAAAAGTTTGACAACTTTAGTATAGATTACCATTTTGAAAAAACTAAACAACTGTTTATATATTATATTATAAAAGTAAGAAATATTGCCAGTAACTTTTTTTTAATAAAAAGCGGAATAAACTAGTTTTAATGAAAGAAAACGAATTAAGAGCTTTTAATTCATAAGGAAGGTTTTTTCAATGGAGTACTATACAATGGAACAAAAAGAAAGATTTTAATCAATTTTGATACCGAGTTTTTTAATTGAGTTAACAAAGTTGATCTTTTTGCAAACTTAATCTAAAGCTCGTGTATTTATAGATTTTTTATTGATTTAATTTAAAAATAAATCTTTATTGAAATTTATAATTTGTTGAAATGAATAGGGGCGTATTTAGTAGGTAGTGTACGAGGTGCTAACCCCCTCCCCCCCCTAGAAAAATTTCGATATTTATAATTTTACCCAAACCAGTTTGGATTTCAAAAAAACTTTAATAAATATATTGAATATAGCATTGCATATCGAAGACCAAATATAAGGAAAAGTTATCAAAAAGGATTTAAATGTATGACAAAGTCATTAAGTTCAATCAAAAAAAGAAACTTTTAAAATTTGAGAATCTTTTGTGCTTAAAGGAATCACCAAGAAATTTTATTTATTTTCTAATTTTTTTATATTTTATCTTTATTTGATTTACTGATCAGCGCAGCAGTTAAATGCCCATTAGGGTTTTTAATTTATAACCTATATTTTATGGAAAGTGTATATAGAGGCTCTATGAAAAGATTTCGATAACGTATAGTCATCTTCATCTTCTTTGAGCCCCTGTCTGTTTAACTCTTTATTTTATAAAGATCATTGTAAAAAGAATAGCGTTTATTTTATTTTGTATATACAAAAACGGTGCTTGTTGACAAGATTTTACTGTCTTCTTTGTTCTACGCACATATCTTTTCTTTCTTGTAAACAGCAAAATAAATGTTAAAGTATATATATATATATATATATATATATATATATATATATATATATATATATATATATATATATATATATATATATATATATATATATATTTTTTTTTTTTTTTTTTTTTTTTCTTCATTTATTTAACCATAAATAGTGAAAATTTACAATGATAAATTATAAGTTTACATAAATAAGGTTAGGTGTCACTCATATAGTTAAAAACTAGTCAATGGAAGGACACCTAAAAAAAAGAAAAAAAAAAAGGAAAGAAAGATAAGCAACAATTACAATAAAGAAGATTTAAAAAAAAAAAAAAAAAAGAAGAAAAGAAAGTTAATAGTAAAAATATTTATAAAAATAATAATAGTAACAATAATATGAATAAAAATAATAACCGCAATATAACAACCTAAAAAGAATTATAAATGATAAAACAATAGTAAGATAATTATAGTATAGTTAAACTTAACTTATAGTATAGTTAAAATAAACAATTTAAAGAATAGTTATAACGATAATGATAA